CGCCAGTGCTTAGAGCCACATGGTCTCCCCCATCCGTCCCAAAGTCTGCTCAAAAGCTACTGGCCCATCCTGGGGTGCAAATGATTAAATGATTTTAATTATTTTTATTATAAAATACTTACATGTACAGGTAAAAGCTGAGAATAATAAACATCCATTTTGACTTTAGAGTAAATATCTGTACTCACATGTTTGTTAAATCTTTAACTCTGTGTCCTATTTGGTTCAGATTGTTTAATTGAGTTATAAATTACAGCATATATAGTTGAGGCCCTGAAACTGCTTTTGTGAATTCCATGTGCTGTGTTCCCATATGGAAAACTTCCCCATGTGTCCTGCGTCTTTCGGTTGGATGACTCCTCAGGTAGGACACCACCTTCATCCCCTAGAGGACTTACCTGGTATTCAGACTTTCCAGGAGGAATGTTCTCTGTGTGAGATTTCCGGCTCCTGGCGGAGGGTTTGGAGAGATGGGAGCCGGCCCCACTCTAGAACCACTTCGTACAGATTGGGATAGGATCTGGAAGTTTTCCAGGCAGTGACTCAGAGGAGGCAAAGGGAGGCAGGAGATGTAGGCAAAGGAGATGGCAAGTGCGGACTCCCAGCAGAAACAGAATGAGCTTAGGAATCAGATAGGGAGAGTTCCAGAAGGCTTTGAGGACCAGGGCAAAAACAAACATTGTTCCTAAGATGAATCAGGAAGCAGCCATGGAGAGGACGTCCCTGGGGCTGCTGCTTGGTTGTGCCATTTGAGGTGGGAGCCCTGCAAGCCCTGTGGGTAGGGCTTGGTTTGGTGTGATAACTCTCACTGTCTCCCTGGGAAAGCCAGGACACAGTCCCTGCTCCTGCAGGAGACCATGCCTATATCCAGCCCTGCCTAACAGTTACTGAGTGGATTCTGTGGGCTCTGCCATCTTGCTCGACTTCCTTTATGTAAATGCCCCCTCTGTCACTGCTAGTCTCTTCCATGTGCTAGGTCCTTTTCTTCATTTCCATCTGTATTACCACAACCAAGAAAATACACCTGGAACCTGGCCCCTGCCCCTTCCCCACTGGACCAGTGCCACCTTCCATAATGCTCTGAGGAGAGGCTTCCTGGCACAAGCTCACCTCAAGTCCTTGGAGGAGATATCTCAGATTTCTTTGACCTGGTTGCACAATGTGCCCTAAACTTCCAGGTTCCCCTGCACCTGTTTATACACTTGGGTCCACTCTTCTCCAGGACTCTGGATGCCCATGTTCTTGTCCTCAGGGGCCCTGCTGAGTGCACCCCTTCTCATCCCGGCATGTATCCCCACCTCTCCTGCCTTGCTGCTGGTCAGCATGCTCATAGTCCCACAAGGAGATGTGCTTCCTGTGGCTCCCACACAGCATCCACTCAGGAGATGACTTCTGGCTGCCAAATGTGAAGTTATGTGACTTTTGACAAGCAAGACCATCTCCATGGACCTTGGAGATACTCCAGGACAGCTCACCACGAGGGGCAAGGCTGCTTCCAACCATGCCTGAAGCCTGCTTTCTAGGCACACTTGCCAGGAGGGTCCACCTTGCTAGGGACCAAGCTGACCCAGATTGGTACTGGGCTTGAGGCATTTGGCACACCTGGAAAGGGAAAAGCTGTTTCTGAGAGTTTCTCCTAGGATAGGACCCGCAATAGTCCCCTGTGTTTTAGCTGTCCCACCCTATCAGCCAGGCTCCACCAAGGACAGGAGAAACCACTGTAACATACAGAGCAGAGGGATTGCTTTTACAGCAGTGTAAACATTATATACACACATAGGTACATACATGTCTACATGTATGAATCCAAAATGTGTATGCATACATAGTATCTACATAATGCATATGTATATGCATATGTTTACATAATGTGTCTACGTATATATAACTTTTTGTTTTGAAATTTTTTTAGGCTTACAGCCAAGGTGCAAAAATTGTTTCAAGTGTTCCCTGCCACCCAACTTCTAAGATGAACATCTTATATAACCATGGTACAATGATCAGAACTAAGAAATTAGCAGTGATACACTGCTTATTTTTTTCTTTCTTCTTTTTTTTCTCCCATTCTCCCCTCCCTTCAACCCCTCTTCCCCTCTTTATTTACAAAAGCTTTGTTTCCATTTTTTCCCTTCTATTCTTTTTTTCTTGTCCCTTTTTGCCTTTCCCTCTTCTCTCTCCCTTGTTCCCTATTTCATTTGGACATTTTCTTCCCATTTCCCAATATTTATTGTGCATTTTGGTCCTTATTTACACTTTTTGTTTCTCACACCAGAGAAACAATGTGGTATTTAAACATGTGTGTCTGATTTATGTCACCTAAGAGTATGGTCTCAAGGTGCATCCATTTAGTTAGAAATGTCTCGAGCTCATCCTTCTTTGTGGCAGAGTCGTACTCCATTGTATAAAAAAGCCACATGTTCTTTATCCATCATTCATCAGTTGATGGGCTTTGGGCTGTTTCCAAGCTTTAGCTATTACAAACTGTGCCACTATAAACATGGGTGTGCGTATATTGCTGTGGTATCACTCTGTTAATTCTTTGGGGGGAGATAACAAGAAGAGGAATAACTGGGTGGGATGGAACCTCTGGTTTTAGTTTTTTGAGGAAATCTCCACACTGATTTCCACAGTGGTTGCACCAGTCTACACTTCCACCGACAGTGGAGAAAGGTTCCTTTTTCCCTACAGCCCCACCAGCATTAGTTATTAGTGTTTTCTTGATAACAGCCATTCATCCTGGAGATGGAATCTCAGCATTGTTTTAATTTGCATCTCTCAAATTACCAGTGATATTGAACATGTTTTCATATATTTATTTACCATTTCTACTTCATCTGAGAAGTGCCTATTCATTTCAGATGCCCATTTTTTAATTGGGTCTTTAAATTTGGTACACTGCTATTCACTACAGATTTTACTCCGAACTCATTAGTCTTTCCACTAATGTCCTTTCTCTGTTCCAAGATCCAAATTTGCATTTAATTGTCATCTCCTTATTCTCCTACAATCTGATACTTTCTTGGTCTTTTCTTTTTTTTTTATTTTCACTTTTTGATAGTTTTTATGAGCATCAGTCACTGATTTTGTAGAAAATTCATTAATATGGCCTGTCTGGTGTTCTTATGCCTTACATTGAGATTGTGCACTTTGAGCAAGAATACCTCAAAAGTGAAGTGCCCTGCTGAGCACACCAGAGCAGGAGCCCATGATGTTGATACATCTTATTACCGACAATATTAGCCTTGCTCACTTGGGTACAGTAAGAGCTGAAGAGTTTCTTATTTTTCTATTAATAAATGTTTAGGGGGAGATCCTTTTTGACTGCCATTACCCATCAGGGAATTTAATGCAGAGCATCAGTTACCTAGATAATGAAAGAGCTTTGTAGCTAAATTATCAGAATTTAGCACCCACAAGTAGCTGTTGCTGCCTTGTAACTGAGGCACAAGGGAGGTGATGGTGCTGCCAGAGACCTGGGCCAGGGTCAAGCATAGAGGCCAGTCAGTGAGGGATGGAGCCATGAAGACCCAGTCCTGCTGTAATGTCAGCCGAGGCAGAGACAGAGAAAAACAGAAGGAGCATGCCTGGCTTCTCCCTTCTTCCTCTCTCCTGCCTGAGTCAGCCGAAAGCCTGCTTATATGGAGGCTGGCGAGTTTGCCCTCAGCAGATGGATGGGCAGGGACAGGCTAACAGTGGACCTGCTGCCTTTGCATCTCTCTAGAGCTTGTTGTCCAACATCAGAGTCACTGGACATGTGTGGCTCTGGGGTATTTGAAATGTGGCGCATCCAATCCAAGATGTGTGCCTAGTGGATTTCAAAAACTTCTGCATGGAAAGAAGATTGTAAAATATCTCATCAAGAATTTTTTATTGATTACCTATATTTTAGATATTGGGTTAATTAAAATATATTATTGAACCTGATTTTGTCTCTCTTTTGAAAATCTGGTTAGTAGAAAAGCATTGTCTGTTGCTCTCATTTTATTTTGGTTGGATAGCTCTGCTCTACAGCATACTTGGACCTAGCTATATCATCAGCATCATAATAAAAGATCTTTCTTGTACAAAGCTGGTGTCCTTCACCCACTGTCAGGAGGTGATGCCACCTAACGTTTTAGAAAAACAGGACTGTATTGACCTGAAGCCATTCAGACTCCCAGTTTTGACCAGAGATATCAAACGTAGAGACTGAGCTCCCTCTGTGTTGTACATATCACACAAAGTGTAGGTTAAGATCTATGTTCCACAGAGAGAATAGCTAACATTTAACACAGCAGTAGAAACACCACGGTGTAGCTAAATTGCACTTGACAGAGGCCAAGCCATTCTGCACCTGCCACATTGTCTGCACAGGCTTTTATAGCTTAAAGTCCTCTGTCTCTACCTTGCAGAGTTGCCCAGGATCATGGTCTTATTTTATAGAGGACAAAATGAAGCCTGGGAGATCACATGGCTTATGTGGCTCTCAAACTTCTGGTGTATCACCTGGGCAGCTTGTCACCATGCTGGTCCTCAGCCCAGCCTCCCGGGTCTGATCGGAAGGGGTGGGTGCCCAGGATCCTCTGTACGGCAGACCTTAGGGGCTTTTCTCAGCTTGTGGAGCTGCGTATACAGGAAAAGCTGCCCATACTTGCCTGTTCTCTGGCTCCAGCCTCGACATAATAAAGGACCAGTGTAGCTGGAGCCAGGTCAGACAGTCAAACGTGGGGCTGGTTGCCCAAAACTGAGAAGACCTGGTATCTTACTTTCTTAACTTTGGAATGCAACTGCATCTTCATCTCTTTGGTGGATTTAGGTGAAGGAAATGAATTTGCCTTCCCCAGCCACATGTCAGGGGATCACCTTGATGTGGCATTTGGAGAGCTGCTGATGGGGAAGTATCTGCCACTGAGAATGCCATGTCCTTGCTGGCCCTTCTGTCGAGGAGCAGGGCACACTTGGGGGGCCGGGAAAGTGAGAGCCTATCCTGCCATCACTAACCACTCCTTTCTGCCTCACAGTGGACAGCGGACTGCAGTGAGCAGCTGGACAGCAGCAGTTCCTTCTCCCGAGGGCGAGCCCCCCCACAGCAGGTAGGGGACCAGCTCTGACTCCATCTGGGGTTGTCACCGGTCTTACTTTTGCGGGCTCCTGAGAGGTGGGGGTATGCAATAAACAGGAAGATGGGGTATTCAAGGATGCGGTCTGTGACTCTGGGAAGCCTCCCATAATTCCCTGGGCCACAGCACCCCTCCCCAAAACACATTCTTTTCTTTCCCTCAATTTTGTATTAGTATATTTTTGCAATATATAGTAAATGCATTCACCTTGAAGGAAATGGTGCATATACACATCACATGATCTTTTCTACTTTCCCTTCCCCAGATCCTCTTCACCCATCCCCAAATCCATCTTTTCAAAGAACTACTTTGATTCAGTAATCCTTTATGGGGTTTTTTGTCTCAATTTTATTGATCTCCACTCTGATCTTTATACTTTCTTTCTTCCTGTTACTTTCAGGCTTGAATTATTTTTATCTTTCTAGTACCTTAAGATACATCATTGGGTTATTTATTCCGGCTCACTCTGTTCTTTTTATATATGCATTTACAGCTGTAACTTTCCCTCTTAGAACTGCTTTCATTGTGTCCCATAGGTTTGGGTATGTTGTGCTTTCATTGTCATGTGATTCTAGAAACTTTCTTATTTCTTCTCTGATTTCTTCTGCTCCATTGGTCCATTGATTGTTCAATAATGTACTATTAAATCTCCAAGAAAACATATTGATTCCTTTCAGTAGCAGTATTGTATGTAATAACAAACATCTGGAAACAACTCAGATGTCCACTGAAAGGAGAGTAGAGAACACTCTGTAACATATCCCTACAGTGGAATATTACGCAGATGACCAAACTAGAGGCTTATCCACTGACACTGACAGACGCTGAAAACACTGGGACTCAGGATTTTGATGCTGGTGGAACACTTTGGAGATCATTTTTGCTTCAGGTCTACAGAAGGCCAAGAGGTGAGAGAGCTTGTGGCAGGGACCCAGAGGAGCCCAATGCATAACTGTCCTCGTGCCAGGCTGGAGCCTGCTACTGCCTGTGAGGACCTGAGTGCTCCTGGATGGGCTGTGTGGCCAGGATGGAAGGGAGCAGCTGCTCTTCAAGAGTTGTCCTCCAGATCCCCAGGGCCCCACACCCCCTGGCGGTCCAGGTAGTTTTGCTAATACCTCATCCCTACTGGTACAAAACAGTGGGGTTAGAAGCTGATAAAAGCACTTATTCTAGCCCAGCCCTGCCTCCACAGACTGCATAGTTCCTGATCCCACAGCTGCTTCAGGGACACCTGGCCAGTCCACTGGCTTCATCCAACTTCACTGAATAAACCAACCCTTATCTATTCTGTCCTGAGGGAGGATGCTTGGTGGCCTTAGTTCTGGGTCCTTCTCAGGCTGCAAGACTTCACTGCCCCATGGTGAGGAAAGAATGTTGTCCCTGATGGTTCATTCTGGTTGTAGGATTCATGTGCATCTGTGCATTTGATTGTTGCTTAGGAAAGAGGTCATAACAGGAGCTGTGGATAAGTAGGGTAGGAGCCCTGGGTTCTAGTTTTCACTCTGCCACAAACTTGGTGGCAAGTTCTTCCTCATCAGGTGTCAGCTTCCTCCTATGAAAACCAGAGGAGACTCTGGGGGTCCTTCTAGCACCCTCATGTGGTTTACAGATGAGGAAACTGAGGCCCATGGAGGCGTATGGCCTCTTGTCTACCCACAGGGCACTTTTACCTACCCTACTGAAGCACATGTCCTTCCAGGAGGCCTTGGTCTCTGCCTCTTCCTTGGCTAGGAACCCTGGTATGCTCCTGAACCCTCAGCTTAACCCTCGCACCTCAGCAGCTCTGACTCTTGTTTCTGCTCTTTATTCTGGGTTTCCCATCTGAAGACCCCCATAACTCTCAAGCAGAAAAGTTGGCTTGAGTGTGGGGGCTTCACACCAGAGAGAGGGCTCCAGGGCAGGGCTGCAGCCTTTAGTTGGAGAACATCACAGGCTGGTCAGTGGCTGCTCTCTGTTATTTGGTCAATAGATGTCTGGTTCTGGAATCTCCCAGTGTAGGGTTCTTTTGTCTTTCCTCTTTATCACCTTTTCTGGCCTCTCCCCACCCTTTCCCTCGGGTCCTGTCACTTGTTGAGAAAGTACCCTTCTCCTGCCCCCAGCCCCTATCTGCACCCTGCCTCTGAGCTCTCCTTGCTTGGCTTGTTTCAGGCACCTGGAGGAGGGAGGGTGGAAAGCTGGACAGAGCCCTAGGCTGGCGGAGCAGGGCCGGGGCTTGTGGGATGCTGCCCCCTAGCAGGAGTACGTGTGAGCTGTCCCTTCCCTAAGCAATGAGCACTGCAGAACCTGCTGACCCAATCCCACCTTTGGAAGGTAAAAGGAAAGCTTGGGGTAAGCAGGTTATGCAAAGTGAAATGTGAAAGTCTTTTCTTGGCAGGTGAATCTGAGACAGGTTCATTGAAGGGGAGAAGCTCTACGCAAGAGGAGATAGGGATCTCTGAAAGTAAATGCACCTCCGTCCCTGACATGCCAGAGACCAGGGAACCCTGGGAAGGGTCTCTGACAGGCCATGAAGCCACTGACATTGCTGCCACCACCAAGCTGTGGCTTAGGAAGGAGGTCATAATAGGAGCCCATCTGCTCATCTCAGAAGGAGAAAGCACAAGAGTGGCCAGGGTCCTGAGGGGACACCCACTCTGCCCCCCCAAAGTCTGTGCCTTATGGATCTTAGGCATGGGGCCTGCGGACCTTGGATCTGGAGTAAAGGAAAGGCCTGCGGAGGGCTGCTTTGCCTGAGCCTGGTGAGGTCACACCAGAGAGTGTAGGTATTTATAGGCGGGATATCCTAGACAGGCACCAAGCAGCAGTGCTGGCAGGGCCTGGTGCTAACCCCTGGCAGGCATGATGCCATGGCCTGCTTTCATGGCTGCAGTCTTGGTTAGAAGGACATGAGCCAGGTGTAAAGGAATGCCCAGTTCAGGGCAGGAGATACACGTGTACACAGGATGGTCAGAGGCCAGAAACAGAGTGAGGGCTGTGAGGGGAGGTGCGTGGAGCCCCATCTCCTGATGGGAGGTCGAGGTGTGCACCTGGATGGGGAGGTGGTAGTGACTGGAGGCCTGAATTGAAATAAGATCTCCTGCACTTATAAGTGTCTTGTTTCTGTGATGAAAACCCTGATATTTAGGACATTGTAGGACTGAATCAACTTGGTACAAACAGTAGGACCACAAGAGCAAGATGGAAGTTTATTTCTCACTTGCCACAACTCAAGTGGACATTTAGGGCTGGCACAGAAGCTCAGCACTGTCAGTCTAGGCTCCTTACTCCTCATGGTTCTACCCTCTCTAGGTCTACATCCATGGCCCCTTATGGCTCCGGCCAGTGGGAGCACCAACCCAGTGCCTCTGATCTCCCCTCACGAGGCCACCATCTCCTGGTGCCCTCTGAGGAGGAATCAGAGCTGGATAGCATCCTTTGTGTGACTATGTCACAGGAAAGCCCCAGGTAGCTGGTCTGTGGTATTATCTTGCTCCACCTGTCCTGCAGGAGCCTCTGATGGATGGAGATCCAGGGGCTGCTTCCCAAAGGGAGCATCTTTTGGGTGAGGCTCTGAGGAGACACTTCAGTCCATCTGTTTTCCAAGATCCCCTGAAACCTGACCCACCAGAGATTAGACCACATGACCAATTCTTAGGATGCCACTGTCCCTCTGAGCACACCCAGCTCCTCCTCACTGCACCCCCACATCTGAGCAGACGCCCTCACAGTAACTCATATTGCTGTCACACAGTTCCATGTACATCTGACCTCAGCCAGCTGGTCAACCCTAAGATGGGAGCTGGGGGTGGCTGCACATCCCTGGTCTCCTCTGGTAGGGCTGTGCACACATTAGGCACTCAGTAAAGATGCCTGAGCTGAGACTGCACTGAGCTGGCTCAGGCTAGGCCATGCAGTCATTCCCTAGTGCACCCTTTTCCTTCAGTGGTACCAACTTTGATGAGCTTTCTGAGGCCTTTGGGATGATGGGCTTGCTCTGTTGACCCATGGAGAATTAGTTTCAGGAGGAGACTGAGGCTAAGTCAAGATGAAGAGGTGGCTGGCTTGTCTAGTGCCCCTGGACTGTTCTGCCTTGGCTATACATATCCAGGCAAGCAGAGGTCAGCAGGGTAATGCTGGAGTCCTGTGCTCTGCCTAGGAAGCTCTGTGTGGTGGGTCATGAGCTGTGCCCTGAGCCAGGCCCCAAGGTGCAGCACCATGCAGAGATTAGTCTGCATTGAGGTTATTTATTCATCTGCTGCACACTTTTTCAGTCCTCATTCTTTTATCATTCCAACTAATGTCAAGAAAACCCACTTGGCTTCTCTGAATCCCTTTAGAGGCACAAAGCAGGGACAGCCTTGGGTAGGGTAGGTTGAGTCCCATGAAATAGGAAAACGATCCAGAGAGTACAGAACAACAACAAAAGGCAGGCTATAGAGAGACCTGACCAGCTGCCAGAAATTGGGATCCACCCATGCCTGGCATTGTTTGCCATCCTGGCACCCCTTTCCTAAGAGACCCGTCTATCCCCTAGTCATTTGGTTAGGACATTGGAATAGTTCCCAGCCTTTTGTTATAATAGGGGAAATGGGTGGAAAGGCTTGAAAAGAAACCATCTGAAATGAGAGACCACAACAGCAGTGTGTTCAGAAGATTTGCCAAGGTGCTGGCAGGGGGTTAAGAATTCAGGAATGAAATCTAAGGCATGTGAAAGGTTGTATAGGGTCTGGAGCAAGCAGCTTTTCTTCACCTGCACAGAAGTGCCAAGGAAAGGAAATGTATGTACCCAACAGCAGCAGAGCTTCAGATTAGCCCTGGAGAAGGACTTCATGGCTGAAGGACTTGTTAGCTTGCGATCTGGGCTGTTGAACAAGATGATGAAATCTTTGCTGGGAACCTGATGAGCACACTTGCTTATTGGGCATTCACACAAGTCTACACAAGATGGGGAAGTGTGAAAAATGATGTGTTTGAGTCTTGGCTGATGACCTGTG